TTTATTGAGTGATAACTGAGCATTAGTGATGAACACCTGCTGTTAACAAGCAGAATCACTAAAGAAAAGAGAAACACAACTACAACTGACTTTAGCCACAGCCTTAGTTGAAATCAACTGAAATATAGTTATATATTTCCACTATTATATGACCACTGCTGGTCATATATTCCCTATATAACCATGTATGTGACAAATAAAAAATCTTGAATCTTGATCTTGAAATAAAAAAAAAGACATTAAATTTCTCAAAATCTCAGCAGAGGATGATTAAACAACTCCACAAACAGCATCACCAGCTTCACTCATTTCTAACCAGATTGACTTTATTTCTGTCAGACGTCTACAGAAGCTCTTATTGAGAATTAACAGAGGTTTAGTTATTAATGACTTATTGGTCAAAAAATTAATCTTGACTTCCTCTGTTACTACGTGTACACCCCATAGTACACAGCCTCCCTGTACACTGAAAATGGTGTGTGTGTTTTTTTCAGGTATGTTCTGAAAATTTGATTATTTTGCCAGTCTCTTTGGCCATCCTCTGAGAACATATTCTCTTGTGCTAAAACAGCATCTTTATCTGTCCATTTCCTCACTATTCACAGATGCTGCATCATTTTCTTCCAGCAGTATTACCTCTTTCACTGAAGTCTCCACTTTTTTTCTGTCAAAGGCAACCTGCTCAGTCCATCAGCATTTTTGTGTTCCTTGCTACTTGTGTACACATCCCTGCCCATCTTTGGATGTGTGGTGAGGCCATTTGTACCACTTCTCAGGATAAATAACTTCTTTAGGATAAATACCCAGAGGGCAAATATTGCTAACAATAGTGCAGAAAAGCAGAAATTATGATCACGATTAAAATATGATTTATTGTGCAGCCCTATGAGCTTCCATAATTGGTTCTGTAATTTCCCTGTTTATCACAGTGAAGCTGCTTTTATAATTTGTATAGTATAAAGAGCTATTGAAGTAAAGGTGACTTGACTTGAGCTCCATTTTAGTTTTTGCATTTCCTGACAATTAAGAAATTACTGTGGCTATAAGATTGTACATGAATTGTTTGATTGCCCTGAAGTTGTTGTTGAACGCATTGCCACATGCACTGTTAGCTCAAGTCACAAAAAAGGGATGCACACAATGTTGACAACGACTTCTCTTTTTCTACAACAATTACTGGCGTGTTTTAAATTAGATTTAAACTTCGATAAAATGCACTGTTAATTTTTTTAAATTGTAATAAATGCATGATATTTAAATGAGTGAGTGTTAAATGATTATGGTCTCAATCTTGACCAAAATCATTTTGATTATGATTTTTGTCATAATCAAGCAGCTCTTAATGCTAGATAAGTAAAGCAAAATGTTACTCATATAAGTTACAGTAAGTGTAACAATGGAAATGGAAAGATGGTATTTACATTGAGTGTAGAGTGGTAGATACTGTTTGCCTAGAAAATAATACCGGCTTCCAGTTATTGGTTAGTACAGAAATCCAAACGAACCACCATAAAATGTTTCTACAGAGACATTTCAGTCCTTCTACCCGCACATTAAAATGAATAGATGCCTTAAGATATTCAACGGATGGCAGGATATTTGCTTCTGTTTTGCTAAGAACAAGCTACAATTTATAGATTTATTACATGAATAAGATTAACTCATAACAAGCCAACTGATTTCAAGTAAACTTTAAACAGAACTTACCAGTCAGTAGTAAAACAGGTAGTAATAAATTAAATAGTGTCCCCACTATGATATCTGGCATTTCACCCGGACACTGTGCTCTCATGATGGAGTTGTACTGTGACTGCACTGACAGCACATTAAATCAATGCTGGACACCACATCGTCTTCAGGAAGTCAACACCCATGCATACACAACACATGAGCATCTATAAAAACATGAAATTCATAGTGATAAAAGGGTATAGATGTTTCAATTGCAGTTGCCTATTTACACACATTTTATAACCTAAACATGAAATTCTCATATGCACACAACATGCACACATATATGACTAATTGATTCTGATGTCACTGTTATCCAGACTCGAAATAATTCATACATTTTATGATCTGTGGGTTTTGCAATATGTGTTGCAATATGTGACCCCCTCTGTGAAACCCCGGCTAAAGTCGCATAATCTAATTCTGAGATAAAGAGCGTCAAAGTTGTGATAGCCATAAAAATTACAAAAATAGGTCATTTGTATTTATTGCTGTAAATGATAGATTATATCATTGGATTTGAGATACAGTTCTCTAGTTTTCATTTATAACAGGATAAATGCTTAAATTAATGATTTTATTGACACTACGATTTATTATTTTGTGCAAAAAAAATACAGGAGGTTTGCTTCCTAAATATTGATTTGAATCATCTCTGGGTTCCCTTTAGATACTCAGTGGTGGAAAGAGTACTGAAAATTTGCACTTAAGTACAAGTGCTGTTACACTGCTGAAATAATACTCAATTACAATGCATGGTTCAATTGTTCACCACAAGACTAGTAATGTGCACTAAATAGTAAGTAGGGTCATTTTTGATTTCATGACGACTAATTTTCAATACCATTGACAAAACTAACACATACTGTATACTGCCATATAGATATTTTAATATTTTTTGTCCATCCATTTTTTTCAAGGCAATCATTATTTCAAGCTTTGAAATTAGTTTAATCCAAGTCTTCTAAAAAAGACACATTTGCTTTATATGATGAACATATTTTAATATAGACTTTTATTTACATACATATAAATATTGATAAATTACCATTAAAAAAAATCTAAATCTTAAACATTTGCTCATTCTGTGTATTTGTGTCTTTAAAATAGGGTAACTGTTGCAAAAGCTTACAGCACAAGCAAGCTTGATTTCAAATTTGATTTCAAACTGAATTGAATTTGAAAAAAAGACAAGTACACATTCTATGGCAAGCCGTTTTGACTTTTATTCATTCTCAGGATATGAGAATGCCACTATAATTATGAGGGCAAAAATATAGTATTTGTTTTTTATATTTATAACATCTGATATAGTTAAGTAATGTCATACAAGCAAGAGTGCCATTTTCCGAATATTATCGAATATTATTCTTTCCGAATATTCATGATCGTGAATGTGATGTTGAATTTATACAGTTCAACAACCAAGAAATTAATACAAGTGAGTTACATTTTGGATACAATATTGTCTGTTTTTTTTTTCACCAACACAAATAGTTCCAAACAAAGCCAGAAAAGAACTGTTGCGTGTCTCCGAGAGACATGTTTGGTACTTGCATGAATCTGTGTTTTTAAATGAATCACCCAGTAAGGCAGAGTCGTGCTGCCACCTATTAGCCAAAACCACGGTTCCAGCACAAAAACACACTCAGCAAAATATCGCCTAATTAAGCTTATCGAAAAAATACAACAAAATAATGTCGCAATTGAATTTTCCCCCCTAATGTCTGACAAAAAAGAAAGAAAGATATTTTAAAACACATTTTGTCAAGAGTGACAATTAACCTATTAATTAGCCTATAATATGTACTAGCTCAAATTCTGCATGCATGTTACAGTGCATAATAAACACCAAAATGACAAAAAAAATTGTCTGGTAAAGTATTATCAAGACTATAGGCTACTCTTTATTTTCTTTTTTGTGATATGGACCTAAGGGTCTGAAATAAAGAAATAACAATATTAATAATAATATAAAGGTGTGAATTAATGAAGTGATTAAATATTAAAACAAAACTGTCATCTCACTCTTATGGTCATTCTGACACAATGACAATGCTATCAACTCATGCTTATGGGGCTTACTAGTAAGAATGCAATTGCAGAGCTCTCTAATTAAATTAGAGAGCTCTCTTATTGTATTTATAATTTATATTTATTAACTAGTTCAAATAGATTTAGAGAGCTCTCTAACTGGCATTGTTACTAGTAACAATTTAATTGTAGAGCTCTCTAATTGAATTGTTACTAGTAAAAATGCAATTACGACGAGTAACCCTGGGGATATTTTAAGCTAAAACGGCTTGCCATAGTCACCTGCTCTAATGAAGAAGTTTCTTCCTCCATCTTACACAAACAACTAACGTCGCAGGCGCCAAAAGTGAGCATAGACTGATGGGAAAATCCTTAGACTCAGCAACAATTAAATTTTCACTAGTTAAAATGTTAATTCTTGATATCAGGAATTGAATTTCTACTAGTAACAATGTTAATTCTTGATATCAAGAATGACATCATCACTCGCAGAAATACAAATTCCTGATATCAAGAATTAAATTTCCACTAGTAAAAACTATAATTATTGATATCTGTAACTGCATTTTCACTAGTTAAATGTCACCATAGGCTGCCATTCAAAATCAATTGTTGATATCAATAATTCATTTCTTACTAGTAAAAACCTTTATTTTTTATATCGGTAATCACGTGGTTACTAGTGCAAATGTCCATTCTTGATATCAACAATTGAGTTGCTACTAGTAAAATTTTCATTTTTGATATCAATAATTCGATTGTCACTAGTGACAATGTTACTTTCTGATATCATGAATGCGATTGTTACTAGTAATAAAGCCATTTCAGATATCAGAAATTACTCTCATAATTATTGATATCAGAATTGAGTTCTTGATATCAGGAATTTATATTTTTACTAGTAACCACGTGATTACTGATATCAAAAACAAAGGTTTTTACTAGTAAGAATTGCATTTCTGATATGTGAAATTGGAATTTCAACTAGTAAGAAATCAGTTCTTGATATCAACAATTGATTTTGAATGGCAGCCTATGGTGACATTTAACTAGTGAAAATACAATTACAGATATCAAGAATGATCATTGTTACTAGTTGAAATATAATTCCTGATATCAAGAATTAGCATTTTAGCTAGTGAAAACTGAATTCTTGATATCAAAAAATCCATTTCAGATATCATGAATTCCTTTTTGGATATGTGCATAGTAATGTCTCTAAGACTGTTACATACCCCCTCCTTCACCAGAAGACTTGGCTAGACCATGACAAGGCTTAAGGTTCTGAACATGGCACGTATCTACATTCATGGGATTGTCATCAAAAGATGCAGAGTTATTGACAGGTCCTAAACACTTAGTAATCCTAGCTGGACCTTTCCACTTACTAGCCAATTTGGCCATGAACCCTTCTTCTGCTCTGGACAATGGGTGAGCCCGTAACCAGACCATATCTCCCACCTGATACTGGGTTTGCTTGCGATTACGGTTATAATAGCGTTGCTGTTTAGCCTGGGCTCGTTCCACATTCTCTTTGACAAGACGGATGAGGTTATGGTGTCGGTCCACAGTTGGGTAAATAATGTCATTAGGATCTGGAGTGCTACGGAACTGGATAGCTCTTTCCAAGGGACCTTTGAGTTTTCTTCCTAGGGCTATCTCAGCTGGAGTGTATCCAGTACTTTCTTGCCAAGCTGTATTAATGGCAAATCTGAACTCAGCGAGCCATCGATCCCATTGCCGATGGTGATCAGCAACATAAGATGCCATCATAGTCTTTAATGTTCTGTTGATGCGCTCTGTCAAGTTTGTCTGGGGGTGATAGGCGGTTGTGAGTTTCTGTACTACTCCCCACTGCTTACATATAAGGTTGAGTAGATTGGAGGTGAACTGAGCCCCTCGATCTGAGACAAGAAAAGCAGGAGTCCCCCATCTCGTAAAGATTTCTTCAACTAGGATCCTAGCAATTTGAGGTGCTTTAGCTTGTCTTAATGGGAACAATTCCACCCACTTTGAGCAATAATCAACAATGACCAATAAATGTTCATTTTGCTTGGCGCTCTTAGGGAAAGGTCCCATCAGGTCTACCCCCAACATGTACCCAGGTTCAACGATTTGAGTTGACTGAAGATGGCCAGATAGTTTAGAAAGGGATGGTTTGTATCTCTGGCATGTCAGACATTCTTTACAATATTTCCAGACGTCAGACCTTATGCTTGGCCTAAAAGCTACTTCCAGGAGTCTGAGGAGGGTTTTGAGTCTTCCAAGATGACCGCCAAGTGGATTGTCATGAGCATAACACAAGAAATCTTTTTGCAAACAGGAAGGGATAATTAATTGAAGTTTATTACCTATTTGTTTATCCGGCATACTTCGAAACAATACACCATTTTCCAGAATGTAGTGCACGCGTAAAGGGTCTTGATCCGGTTGGGACTTTGTCTCTGCAATCAGCTCCTGAATCTCTGAATCATCCTGTTGTGCCACAGCAATGTTGGAAACATCAATAGGTAAATAAGGGAATGCATTAATTGCTGCCACCTTGGCTGGATCCGTCTTGACTCCCTCCGTGGATACAATGTGACCCAGAAAAGCAATGGTACGTTGCATGAAATTACACTTAGCCAGATTGAGCGTGAGCCCTGCATCATGTAAGCATTGTAACACCTGGTTGATATGTTGAAGGTGTTCTTCCTCGTTTCTTGAGTACACAATTATGTCATCAATGTACACTAGGCAGCACTTTCCTCTTACCCTCTTCAGGACATGCTCCATTAACCTTTGGAATGTAGCTGCTGCATTTTTCAGGCCGAACGGAAGACGCTGGAATTCAAATAACCCTGCGGCCGTCACAAATGCAGTTTTTTGTACGCTATCAGCTTCCATTCCTATCTGCCAGTATCCACTCTTAAGATCTAATGTGGTAAATATGGCAGCTCCATGTAGCGACTCCAAGATTTCTTGAATCTGAGGCATTGGGTATGCATCCAGATGAGTCTTAGCATTGAGGTTACAATAATCAATGCATAATCTCAAGCTCCCATCCTTTTTTGGTACAACTACCACTGGAGACACCCATGGTGAAACTGATGGTTGTATAATTTCCTTGTGTAAGAGTTCCTGGACCTCAGCATCTACAAATTGTTGTTTATCTATGGACAGTCTATATGCCTTCTTCGTCACTGGCACCTCATCAGTAGTTATGATGCTGTGTTTTACCTCATTAGTGCATCCAATGTCTTGTGAGCATACGGTGGGCCAGTTAAATAAAAGACCTTCCAACTCCTTCTTGTATGGCTGAGTAATTTCAGCTTTCCATGCAACCTGTTGAATGGAGTGTAGGACTGATTCTGAAGTTGATACAGTTGGAACGGCAAGATAGAAATAAACGGAGGATATGGAGTCCTGCCTCAGAAATGGAAACACATGATCAGTCAGGTCATCTGTGGCTGTAAGTCTATACTGGGCTTTACTGAAATCTAGCACAACTCCCGTCTTCACCAAAAAATCCATACCAAGGATAATTGCCACGGACAAATCTCTGTCCCTCAAAATGAATATTGTCAATGCCAGCCCTTGACCTTGGATTTCACACTGCCACTGCACTTTTCCTACGGCTTCATGCCTCTGGCCATTGGCTAGCATGAAAATTTGGCCTTCGCTTGGATCACAAGGTTCACCCCGACTTAATTGCTTCCAGAGAGATTCACGCATGAGCGTCAAAGTGCTTCCAGTATCCACCATTGCAGAATCTACCCCGAAGTATGATCGGGATGTTGACTGTGTTGACTGTGGTTTGCTCGGCTTTTAACACTGGCTGCACAACCCTTGTGTTTGTTGGCACATGCTTTACTTGGAGCTCACGGGCATTGAGCGATTTCTTCCTTTGCTCAACTGCATTCCCTTGACTCCAATACCTCTTTGCTTCATCAAAGTCTCGCTCAATTTGAGTGCCTATTCTGACCAGCTCACCTACATTGCCGACTGTTCCTCGTAACAAACTTGCTAATCGGGGATTGCAGTTTCGAAGAATGGCCTGTACTATATCTTTTTCAGACATCTCCCGTTTCCATCTTAGACACAGTGCACGATAATGAAATGCAAAGTCTCTTATGTTTTCCCTTACCCCTTGCTTTCTCTCCAACAGTTTACGTGCTGCCACGTCATCATAATCCTCACTAAGGAATGAACGAAGGAATAGCTCTTTAAATTGCCTCCATCCATGTACATTTCTTTTCTCTGCTTGCCACCAGTCCTTGGCAGTCCCCTTCAGCACCGATGTAAGGGCAGCCATTATCTCCCCGTCATTAAGTGGGCGCACAGCAAAATATTCCTCGCAGCGTTCTATGAAGCCAATACAATCGGTTACGTCTTACCAGTTAAGAAAATATTAATGTGTGTCAGTATAACGGATCCATGCATTTCTTATATTACGCTAATATTGTTAAAACAACAAAGGAAAAACAGAGAAGCACTCACTCCTCTTAACTAAGTAACTTATGTAACTTTAATAGGTAATTGTGTATGTTTATTTCATACAGTAATACAGTTTTCATAAGCACTGTAAAATACTGTTTATTTAGGAAATTTGTATCTTTGTATCTAATGGTCTCTCTGAGGGCTAAGCCCCCCTGAGGATGAAACCCTAGAACTGCCCCTACATTTAAAATGAGATAACATCTTTTGAGATAACATATAGTCTCTATTCCGTTTTATTTCGTGTTGTTTTGCCAAAACAACACTTAATGTTGAAAGGGATAGTAGAGACAAGCAAAAATATTTATTAATTATTTAATGATACAATTGTTGTTAGGTCTTAAGTAAACACATTTATAGTTACAAAGTAAAACAACAACAACAATATAGCCTAATAAAATAGCATAATAATAATAATAATAATATAAAATAGCCTAATAATAATAATAAGCAATGAACCAGATGGGCAAGATTACACAATTCTTATTAAATCGTTGTCCATTCTCCGAACCAACTACAATTGAGAGACTGTTATTCATATCTTAACTTTCAGAAGAGTGTATCAGTGCAGTGCCATATTTAACGTAACATTGAAATGGCTGAGACAGACATGAGAAAGAGGTTCAATAGACTTTATCATTCATCTTGTCCACCGATACTTCAAGAACTGGACAACATGTTATATAAAAATAATGCCTATTAGGACACGACTCATTCATGTAGTCTAAATACAACGATATTACAAAAAAAACAAAAAAAAAGTCCAGTAAAACGACGCATTATTATCTGTTATATTTTTCCTTTTGGTTGTATTTTTTATTTGATGTATTAGAAGAAAGTGTAATAAAACAAAAAATAAACACATGAAAAAACGACATGAAGTTTTATGTTAAAGCTAAATTAATGCCTTGTTCGTTTTTCCTTTAATCATCCGAAGGACTTGGTGGCCAATAAAAAGAAACAGCATAAAATTACTTTTTTTTTAAACAATTAACAAAAAAAATAATAATAATGATCCAGCCATAATATAATTTTCATGTTTCATTGACAAAACAAATAAATAAAGGAGGAGTCGTTTCTGCACATGGATGTTCTTCCGCCATCTTTGGCCAATGCTGACGCTAAAACGAGGATTGTGAGAAAGCCAGATCTCATTAATATTCATAATCTCATTACCATAGCTATTCTTACCTGTAAAAATGGCATTTCTACATATCTGTAAAAGTATTTTTACTAGTTAAAATGTTATTTAAGATATCAGTAATTAAATTTTCACTAGTTGCAAGGGAAATTTCAGATATCAACTGCCTTTGTTGATATCAATAATTACTTTGTTACTAGTAAAAATGTGAATTCTTGATATCAAGAATTCAGTTGTTACTAGTTGAAATGTTAATTCTTGATATCTGTAAATGAATTTCAACATGTTAGATTTGTTATTTTTGATATCTAAAAATATATTTGTGATATCAATATAATTTCTGATATCTAAAATGGCTTTCTTACTAGTAACAATCACATTCATGATATCAAAAATTAACATTGTCACTAGTGGCAATTAAATAGTTGATGTCAAGAATTCAATTGTTGATATCAAGAATAGACTTCTGTACTAGTAACCATGTGATTACTGATATCAAAAACAAAGGTTTTTACTAGTAAGAATTGTATTTCTGATATGTGAAATTGGAATTTCAACTAGT